GGGGCTCAGGGTGTTTTGGGGGGCTGCTACAAGAGACAGCAGTGATGAAGGGACAATGGCTCCCTCTGCTGCCTCAGCCAATCAGGAGTCAGAGTCCCCAGAGAACCGAGGCTCTCGTGGACATCGCTTGATCGGGATGGGGCTCAGGTAAGTGTTTTGGGGGGCTGCTACAGGAGACAGCAGTGATGCAAGGGACAATGGCTCCCTCTGCTGCCTCAGCCAATCAGGAGTCAGAGTCCCCAGAGAACCGAGGCTCTCATGGACATCGCTGGATCGGGATGGGGTTTAGGTGTTTTGGGGGGCTGCTACAGGAGACAGCAGTGATGCAGGGGGCCAAGTAAGGAACCCCAGTGCACAATAGTGAAAACAGGGATCAGTCTGAAGAAGCACCATGTATGGAGCAGGAACTGCAGTGCTAGCACCCCACAGGTAGTGCAGACGGCATTCATTTCTGCCCTTCACACGTATCTATCCCAATCCATTGAGTTCAATAGACTTCTTTCACACTGGATATTGGGGGCCTTCAGCAGCAGTCAGGGACAACACAGAGGGAAAACGGGTTTACATAGGGACAGTAAACAAAATGTGCAGAATTTCCGGTGAGATAAAACGTGGAAGAGATAGGAGGAGGATTTACCAAAACTGGAGCACTGAGAATCTGGTGCAGCTGTGCATGGGAGCCAATCAGCTTCTAACGTCAGCTTCTTCAATCACACTTTCACAATAACACCTGGAAGCTGATTGGTTTCTGTGCAGAATGGCACCAGATTTTGCACAATGCACTTTCAGTAATGCAGACCATCGACGGGTGGAAAACCGTCCGATATTTTTTTAAGATATAATACAAAAAAAAAAAAAAAATCATGTTTTGGTCGTTCAATAGGCCAACGTTACCACCAACGGTAAAATCACACAAAACCCCCAAAAATCGGCCGATTTTCATCCCGTCTGCGGCCGGCATTTAATTACCTCTGTCCCTTGCAGAGAGCGCCGCTATTATATTTGACATGAAAAAGTCTTGGAAGGTTGCAACAATGTATCTATTTGTATCCATTTCAGATACAGGTGTTTTTATTCAGATACAAATGGATACATTGTTGCAACCGCAAGACTTTCATGTCAAATATAATAGCTAGGGACTGCAATTCTTCTTCTGCTTCCTCCTTCCGTCTTTCTTCTTCTTCTTCTCCACCATATTTTCTTCTTCTTTTCTTTCTTCTTTCTTTCTTCTTTCGTTTTCTTCTTTCTTCTTTCCTTCTTCTTTCTTCTTCTTTTTCTTTTTTTCTTCTTCTTTTCTTCTTTGGGGTCCTTCTTTTTCATTTTTTTTCTTCTTAAAATCTTTTGGGGCTTTGCTTTCTTCTTTTCTTTTCCCTTTCTTCTGTTCTCTCCTTCTTCGTTTTTTTCTTTCTTAAAAAAAAGTGCCAAAACCCCAAAAAACGGCCGATCCAATTAACCCATTAACGGTGTGAAAATTGGGCAATTTTTTTTTTCAGCCGATTTTCGACCCGTCTTTGGCCTGCATAAATCTCCCCCATTTGGTCTCTTTCTCTTCAGAATCCAATGGTTTGCACTCTGTATAAACCAAAGTGAAAAGCATTCTAGAGGGAAGGAAAGATCAGCTGACTGCAGATGTAACTCTAGAAGTCTGTCCCAACATCAAGGACAGTAATAGAAGTGGATCAACCCTACCCCTATCCCCCCCCCCTCCCCCTCTTAAAAGTGTTGTGTTGGAGTTGCACTTTAATGCTCATGTTTTCACCTGCTGCGGTCTCTTTTCACCCATTTCATCTACCCTGCGACAGGGGCTTGGCAGCCTTCACACTTAGATCCGTTTTCTCTCTTCTTTTTTTTATCTTTAAAGGGTTGTGTATTTTTGCAGGTTTTCAGAGCTCGTACACCACCAGAGGCGATTGCGCTGTGCAGCCGGCTACTGGAATATACTCCCATCCCGCCCGCCTCACCCCCTTGGATGCCTGCTCGCCCACTCCTTCTTCGATGAGCTCCGGGACCCCAACCCCAAGCTTCCCAACGGCCGTGACTTTCCTGCACTCTTCAACTTACACCACTCAAGGTAATGGCCTCTTCTCCGGAGCAGGAGCACTGGCCTTGACTCCCACCGCACGTGACAGGAGTCCAGAGTCAGGAAGCCACTGGCTGCACAAATGGTGACATGATATCACATGGCCAACTAGAACTGCTTTGGCTCTGTGTAAGCCCAACATCTCACAGGGTCCAGAGTCAAGGAAGCCACTGGCTGCACAAATGGTCACATGATATCACATGGCCAACTAGAACTGCTTTGGCTCTGTGTAATCCCAACATCTCACAGGGGTCAGGAACCCACTGGCTGCACAAATGGTCACATGATATCACATGGCCAACTATAACTGCTTTGGCTCTGTGTAATCCCAACATCTCACAGGGGTCAAGAACCGCTGGCTGCACAAATGGTCACATGATATCACATGGCCAACTAGAACTGCTTTGGCTCTGTGTAATCCCAACATCTCACAGGGGTCAAGAACCACTGGCTGCACAAATGGTCACATGATATCACATGGCCAACTAGAACTGCTTTGGCTCTGTGTAATCCCAACATCTCACAGGGGTCAAGAACCGCTGGCTGCACAAATGGTCACATGATATCACATGGCCAACTAGAACTGCTTTGGCTCTGTGTAATCCCAACATCTCACAGGGGTCAAGGAACCCACTGGCTGCACAAATGGTCACATGATATCACATGGCCAACTAGAACTGCTTTGGCTCTGTGTAATCCCAACATCTCACAGGGGTCAAGAACCGCTGGCTGCACAAATGGTCACATGATATCACATGGCCAACTAGAACTGCTTTGGCTCTGTGTAATCCCAACATCTCACAGGGGTCAGGAACCCACTGGCTGCACAAATGGTCACATGATATCACATGGACCAACTATAACTGCTTTGGCTCTGTGTAATCCCAACATCTCACAGGGATCAAGAACCACTGGCTGCACAAATGGTCACATGATATTACATGGCCAACTATAACTGCTTTGGCTCTGTGTAATCCCAACATCTCACAGGGGTACCCCACGGTTTTCCCAGTTCATCGGGTTGATTCAATAATCAGTACTGGTCATCCAGAGGGGGAAGAAGTGAGTTACACTGAAAAGGGGATTTTGTAATGAAATCTTTAAAATGTTAAAGCCCAACTCCACCACAAAAAAAAATAATAAAGCCAGGGTGGTGTACAAAAGAAAAACAAAACCCCAGTGCTGCCTCTGTTCTGTGATCCAGCGGTGCTTTTCTGGGTTCAATGACAGCCAGCATCGTCCACCCCCCACAAACCTCCTGTAAACCCAGGCTGTTGTGGATCTGCCCTCTGACGGTGCACCATCATGTCAGCTTAAGTTCACAGTTCCCATAGCCAGTAATGATAGATGAGGGCCAAGCTGTCCAGGGCCCCCAACATCGCGGCTAGCAGAGAAGAGGGAACTGTGACGTCACTGGACAGAGCAAAAGACTGCAACATAAATGGTACGGTATGTATAAAGTGTTATTGTCAAGAGAGTCCCTGAATGGACAAAATGAACGAGTCTCTTTAACCTCCCTAGCGGTCTGATGATGTCAGTATTTCTGTGCTGAAAGCGGCACTTTTTTTGCATGGAAATATGTCGTTTTTTATTGTAGGCTGTAATTTTTAAGAATAACTCACTGAAATCTGTCTGAACAAGAATCTAGTAAAAATCCCGGGTATGATAAAACTTGAAACACAAAATCATAATTTAATAAATTATCATAAAAATTATAATATAATAAATTTAATTCAATAATATAATCAAACCAAAAACACTGAAATGTGAAATAGAGCGCCAAGTTCGCACATCGCTGAGCTCAGTCGCAGAATCGTTTTCAGTGTCTAATGAGGAATTTCCCCCACGAATCATTATCACTCAATTCTGCAAGTGGTTCTGATTTACTATCGCTGTTTCTCTAGCCGGTCTAAAACCGCGTCTGACCTAAAGGGACGCTTTTTGGACGCCATGGACGTTTCTCAGTTTCCAGGCAGAAAGGGCGGTAAAAAATGCAGGCAGGGCGCCAGACAAAGCACTCGGGACAAAATGTATGTGAAATGGTTTGATACAGGAATGTTATACTACGTCAAATTTGTTTATTAGAAAATGACAGTTTCTAGAAAATGTTACATTTGCTGCCGGTTCCGGCCCCGGTACGTCCTGACGCTCACAGGGACCGGAATACGGAAGCAAGATGCCGGCATCGGCTGGAGGAGATGGCCGGGGACGCTGCAGGAGACGCATCGCGGGAGCGCAGGACAAGGTAAGCGCTGCAGGGAATCCCTGAGCAACGCCGCATGGTAAGCCTGAGTGTAGCTCGGGGTTACCGCTTGTGGTACTGAAACTTTACCCCGAGCTACACTTTTTTTAGAGCGATTAGTATTTTTCTAAGGCCTCATCCACACATGCGTCTCCCAGGCAGGGTCGTCTTTTAGCAGCAAGGGGACGCACGGCTGTTGCGTGCATCACCGTGCCGGCTTCCCATTCATTTCTGTTGGGACATGTGACTGCGCAGGCACAGCTGCTGGTTCCTAATGTAACATACTATTCCCCAAATGCATACAGGGTGCTTCAAAGACCTGCACCCATCCGCATGTTATATCAGGACAAAGCGCCTGTGCAGCCGCTTGTCCCAATAGAAATGAATCAGACCCCAGCATGGAGATGCATGCAACAGCTGTGCCGGTATAAGATGGAGATGCATGTCTGCGCCCCGTGTGAATGGGCCCTTACAATAGGGAAGCGTCTGCCTTTCCTTGCATGGAGTCCTCAGAGCATCAGTGATGGATACACGGTACTTTGGTCTTTTGCTCGGCTCTACAGGTAATTTCGGCTCACGGGGCTAAGGACCCCACTTTTGGAAGTTTGGAGTACTTTTTAGTCTAGGTGGCCTTATAGACACACAAATCTATCTCTCCACCCCCCACCTCACCCCCTTGATCTCAGCCCGAATCACACACCTACTGAGCGACATATCAGACTGGATGTCGCTCCACTTCCTTAAATTGAACCTCTCCAAAACCAAGTTTCTTGTCTTCCCCCCAGCCCGGACCCCACCCCCCATTGACTTCTCCGTCACATCCAACAACCCCACCATCAGACCCGCCCCGCAGGCCAGAGTACTTGGTGTCATTCTGGACTCCAACCTATCCTTTCAACCCCAAGTCCAATCTTTAACAAACTCGTGCAGACTCCGCCTCCACAACATGCAGACTCCACCTCCGCAACATGCAGACTCCACCTCCGCAACATCGCCAAAATCTGCACGTTCCTAACCCCAGAAACCACTAAACAGCTCATCCACTCCCTCATCATATCACGACTCGACTACTGCAACTCCCTCCTCACTGGCCTGCCTCACAGCAGGCTATCCCGCTTCAGTCCATCCTGAATACGGCTGCCAGACTCATTCACCTTTCCAACCGCTCCGTTTCCGCCACCCCCCTCTGCCAATCCCTCCACTGGCTTCCACCCCCCTCTGCCAATCCCTCCACTGACCTCCACTCAGTGTCTTCCACCCCCCTCTGCCAATCCCTCCACTGGCCTCCACTCAGTGTCCTCCACCCCCCTCTGCCAATCCCTCCACTGCCTTCCGATTGTGCAACGGATCAAATTCAAAATCCTAACACTGATGTACAAAGCCGTCCACCATACTGCCCCGAACTACATCACTGACCTAATATCCAAGTACCGCCCAACACGCACACTCCGCTCCTCACAAGACCTCCTTCTCTCTAGTTCCCTGGTCTCCTCCTCCCATGCCCGCCTCCAGGACTTCTCCAGGGTGTCACCCATCTTCTGGAACTCCCTGCCCCAACCCATCAGATTATCACCTACTCTCCTCTCCTTTAGGCGCACCCTGAAAACCCATCTCTTCAGGGAAGCCTACCCCACCCCCTGCTAACTTGCCGACCTCCTCCACTCTTCCTACCACTCCATCCCCCACAGCTATCTCCTCCTGTACCACCATCCCCTCCCTCCTAGATTGTAAGCTCCAAGTAACAGGGCCCTCAATCCCCTCATGTTTTGCATTGTATTGGTATTGTTCTGTCACATGTTCTGTCCCCATTTGTAATGTACAGCGCTGAGCCAACTATTGGCGCTTTATAAATACTGTATAATAATAATAATAGACAGACGTTGGACCCAAAGGGAAGGCAATTATAACCCGCAGGCAGTTAAGGGATTCTTTAGCTTTTTTTCCTTCATGGGTACCAGGTTCACTCCCAGATCTGTAATGGGGACTGTGGCAGGCGTTCGTGTTCTGCAGGATTTTTTGTTTTCTAAAAGGCAATTCCCCTTTGGATTCCAAATACGTATGTTGCTGGGATCTCCAGGTACGATTCTGTGAGGCTGTAGCTGCATATCTGTTGTAAGCATTTTTCTAATTGTTTTTTTATTATTATCATTAACAGAACTTTCAAGCAACCCCTCGCTGTCATCTATACTCATCCCACCACACGCTCGAAACCAGGCCTCCGTGTCTACGCCCACGAACGCCACAGCGACATCAGGTGAGGATGCTCACATGTCTCCATCTCTGTATTTCAGGCTTTCATTGTACAGCCAGGATTGTGATTTTTTTTATTTTTTTTTATTCCTCGTGAAAATGGGACTCATCTTGTACCCACCCTGAGCTGCTGCATTGGAGCTCACGGGAGGCAGATGTTACAGGAACACAACTGTCTAATAACAGCGTTTTGTCTTCTCTTTCCGATGATATTGTGTTTCCCCGAAAGTAAGACCTAGCGGTACTTTTTGACATACCGCTAATATAAGCCCTCCCCCGAAAATAAGACCTACCTCCACCAGGGGCGGACTGACCATTCGGGCACTGCCCGAGGACCCGGGGTCACTGCAGGGCCCCATGAGAGGCTCAGTCCGTCCCCGTATGTGCCGCTTCTGAAATAAGCAGGCATTGAGGGGACGGACAGTGAGGCAGGCACTAAGGACACCTCTCCTCCTCAGAGTTTCAGCAGAGGGGGGGGTCCACATCCCTGCCACGGGCGCTGAAGTCGGAGTCCTGGAGGGGCGGGCAGAGTAGGCAGCAGGTAAGTATGTAATCCCCCGACCCTGGTGACAGCACTGCAGCTTCATGTAGTAGGTAGGGGGGGAGAGAGAGGGAGGGGGGGAGAAAGAGGGCAGAGAGAGGGGGGGGGGCGAAAGGGGGGAGAAAGAGGGCAGAGAGAGAGAGAGGAGGGGGGAGAAAGAGGGCAGAGAGAGAGAGAGAGGGGGGGGGAGAAAGAGGGCAGAGAGAGAGGGGGGGAGAAAGGGGCAGAGAGAGAGAGGGAGGGGGGAGGAAGAGGGCAGAGAGAGAGGGAGGGGGGAGGAAGAGGGCAGAGAGAGAGGGGAGGGGGGAGGAAGAGGGCAGAGAGAGGGGGGGGGCGAAAGGGGGGGAGAAAGAGGGCAGAGAGAGAGGGAGGGGGGAGAAAGAGGGCAGAGAGGGAGGGAGGGGGGAGGAAGAGGGCAGAGAGAGAGGGAGGGGGGAGGGAAGAGGGCAGAGAGAGAGGGAGGGGGGAGGAAGAGGGCAGAGAGAGAGAGGGAGGGGGGAGGAAGAGGGCAGAGAGAGAGGGAGGGGGGAGGAAGAAGAGGGCAGAGAGAGAGGGAGGGGGGAGAAAGAGGGCAGAGAGAGAGGGAGGGGGGGGAGAAAGAGGGCAGAGAGAGAGGGAGGGGGGAGGAAAGAGGGCAGAGAGAGAGGGAGGGGGGAGGAAGAGGGCAGAGAGAGAGGGAGGGGGAGGAAGAGGGCAGAGAGAGAGGGAGGGGGGGGGGGGGGGGAAAGAGGGCAGAGAGAGAGGGAGGGGGGAGGAAGAGGGCAGAGAGAGAGGGAGGGGGGAGAGGAAGAGGGCAGAGAGAGAGGGCAGGGGGGAGGAAGAGGGCAGAGAGAGAGGGGGGGGGAGGAAGAGGGCAGAGAGAGAGGAGGGGGGGGAGGAAGAGGGCAGAGAGAGAGGGAGGGGGGAGGAAGAGGGCGGGGGGGGGGGGGGGGAAGAGGGCAGAGAGAGAGAGGGGGGGGGAGAAAGAGGGCAGAGAGAGAGGGCAGAGGGGGGGCTTGCTTTAAAACGTACCTCTTTGTGGAGCTGGTGGAGAGATCAGTTAGGTTGCAAGCCGAAGATCCCCGCAGGATGAATCGGATCGGGGCGGACTGACAGCTTATGGGGCCCCTGGGCAATAGGGGATCATGGGGCCCCTGTGTCCTTACCTAAACTCAAAAATGCCTATGTAAAGGTACCAGGGGCATCTCATGGGGCTCCCTACTGACCCCGGGCCCTCGGGCAGTGCCCCAGTTTCCAAATAGTCGGTCCGCCCCTGGATCGGATTTGCGGATTGGGGAAGATAATGGATCGGACTCGGATCCATTATGCTGAATCCGCAGATCCGATTCATCCTGCAGGGATCGTCGGAGGGGGTGTTGCCAAGTGAATAAAAATAAACAAAGGTCAATAAAAATAAGACCTACCCGAAAATAAGCCCTAGTGCATTTTTTTTTACCTACAATTAATACAAGACACTGTCTTATTTTTGGGGGAAACACGGTACATGTGAGGGAAAAAAAGGAAGAGGTTTATATATATAAAAAAACTAAAATTATGGTGGGGAAAAAAAATTGGTTTATTAAAGAGGCTCTATGGCTGCCTCTTCAACGTGGCCCCTCATTTGGTGGTCGGGGTGGCACATTTCTGATAATCACCCACCCAAAGGATCCAGCATTTTCCTGGTGAGAGCCTCTTGTATTCCACCACCTATTGGTCCCGCACCGCCATGTTAATTGTGACATCATCAAGAGGCCTGTCAACTCTTCTGGTTCAGCCAGTGTGCCTCCTGATGATGCGATGCTAGGCCCGTCCCCTCCTCATATCTGAATAAAGCGATATGTGACGTGCATATCCCAGGAGGCAAAGGGAAGACCTTGCACGGCACTTTTTTCATGAATAACAAACAAAAAAAGAGACATCCCAATTAAGGCAGCGGAGGGGTGAAGAGGAGGGAAGTCTCTCTGGAGGGTGAAGATCCACTTTTAAGAAAAATACAATTTTGTTTTTTCTTAATGGGGAGAAATGTATCAAAGAAACAAAGAATCAACATTAATGTTTGTTATATATGTGTGAGATAAAAATAGGTGTGAAAGATCACCATAAATATGTATCAGTTGCCTTTGCAATAAATATTTTGCATGTGTGTTGACAGACTTGTAGACTTATCAAATACCCAATGACATGCTGGAATGGTAGCAAAAGAGAAAAAGCATGATAGACCTGGAGGTGTGTGTAAGTGCTGTTGGCCCTGAATGGAGTTTCATAGAAAAGTAGCAGCGTGAGTGAATACCTTGAGGTGAATAAAAGTAGAATTGGCATACAAAGGTGTTCTGGAAATGCGGAGAACCATTAGAAAAGACCTGGAGGTTCAAGTAAATGGTGTTGGCCTGGAGGGAAGATTCAGAGAAAAGTAGCAGGACGAGTGAAGACCTTGAGGTGTATGTAAGTGACAGTGATGGAGGCATACACGGTCCTTCTGGAATTAAGGAGAACCATGAGAAAAGACCTGGAGGTTTGAGTAGATGGTGTTGGCCTGTAAAGTTTTCTAAAGAAAGGGAGCATCATTGGAGAAGACTTGGAGGTGTGTGAAATTGGAGGCATTCTGGAAAGGCATTGTGAAGAAAGTGAGAACCATGAGTGAAGACCTAGGGGTGTGTAGGAGTGTTGTTGATGTTCTGGATGGGCATGCTGGAGAAAAAGGGAAACCGTTACAGAAGGGTCCTGGAGGTTTGAGTCAATGGTATTGGCCTAGAAAGCAGTTCTATAGAAGTGGAGAAGCAGAGGAGTGTGTGTGGGAAAGTGGTGGTGTCCTGGAAAGGCATTCCGGAAAAAGGGAGAACCATGAAAGATGATCTGGAGCCGTGGTGGTTGGTTTGGTATTGACCTTGCAGAGCATGCTGGAGAAAAGGAGAACCATGAGAGAAGACCTAGAAGTGTGAGTAATTGGTAGTAGACAGATGTTCAAGATCAGAACTTCTCAAACAGGGGTTCTAAGAAACCATAGGTTGCTTAGGGGTTCCTTGAGCAAATGAGCAGCTTTTGCCTCTCGGATAGTTCCCACTGACAACCATTCATCTTTTTTAGCTATCTGTGATGGGTAATTCTTCCCAATGACCACAATTGTAAGGAGAATTCTCACAGACCATCACAATAATGTATCATGAGTTGTAGATAGATATAGTAATTTTTTTTAGTAGGGGTTTCCTGAGACCAGCAGGTTATTTCAAGGGTTGAAAAGGTTGACAAAGGCTGTTCTAGACAAAGGAAGCAGTATGGGAGAAGACCTGGAGGTGTGTTCAAGTGATGGCATCCTGGAACAGAAATATAGAACCTAGAGGTGTGCGGGAGTGGTGTAGGCCTGAAAGGGCATTTTAGAGAACAATGGGAGAGGATCTAAAGTTGTGTGGGAGTGGTGTTGGATCAGGAAGGGCATTCTGG